TAAATGTTTAGCAATAAAAATCAGTTAAGTTAAAAATGTTAAGGTATTGAAAATTATATTTAAAAAAAGCTGGTATACGGAGGTCGCTCTGCTGTACATTAGGTTACACAATTGAGTCACTGAAATGGATGGTGTTAAGTTTGAATTCAACGATAAAAAAACATTGTATACGAAAAACGATTCTGAGGGAAGACGGTCTGTCAGTCTATAATATTATTACTTAATAATTTAGTACATTCGATGATATTATTGTGATTAAAGTAATTTATTTTACTAGTAAGTATTAGTACTACACGCAGTAGATTAAATTCATTAAAAAAAAAGTACATTTAAAAAGTCATTGTGGGTATAAAATATAATAATATACTTTAAAAATTTCAAGTACCCACGAATAATATTTTTAATTTACAACAAAATAACATAAATCATTATTCTTGGTAATTGAATCTTTAATTTAGTTCACATTTTAAAATTAAAAATCTGTGATAATATTTATTTTGATTTTTTTGTAACAAAATAACCTACTCGCTTGGAACTTTGTTTTGAATTTTCAACCCTAGCCTACAAAAGTTGAATATTTCAAAAATCTTAAATTATAAAATTATTTGTACATTTTAAATGATGTGAATTTTGTTAAAATTTAAACTTTAAATGCTCATAACAAAAATCGTGGTTATGTATTTTAAATATTTTTTAACTAATATTGTAAATATCTACCAGGAGCATTTTATTGAATTTTTAAGCTTTTTTGCCCAACAAATACGATTTTATTAACAATTATAGAAAAAAAAAACTAAATAAACTAAAAAAATTCAAAATTCAAATTGTTTTTAAGCAGCTCAAAACGAGTCAAAATAATTTGAAAATTGTATTAAGTATATGAATTAAAAATATAAACAAATGGTGTGAATTTCATATATCGGAAATTATTGGTTTTTCAATTATAAAAAAATAAGTAAAAATCACTATATAAGAAATGGAGTGTCGGAGTGAATATCCAATGTCGTCAAAATTTCAACTTCAAATAATCATAACAAATGAATTCGACTTTCCAGAAGAATTTTTTTTTTTTGATAATGGTAGACAAACTTATAAAGAATCTTGTATTATGTTTTAAAAACTTAGATTAAAACGAAAAATTTTTACGGATTTCTAACTCAAAATATTTTGCTCGTGTTCGTGACTTTTACTTATTTCGTCAAAATTCAAAATTCAAACGCTTGTAAAAATTTTTTTCAAAATTGTATGGTTTATAGAAAACGCCGTTATAAATATTCAGTATAAAAATTTCATTTATATCTACGGTATTTTTTTTTTTTTTTTTTGAGAGGTACATCAAAAACCAAAATCGATTTTGTCGAAAACCGGGGTTCCCTTAAAAATTTGCCTTTTTCCTTAATTTTTTGTTTGTTTTTCCTGCCGCTTTTGAAAACGATTGAGAATTTTTTACTTTTGAGTTTTGACTCCTCGAAGTACCGATACTATTCACATTTCTACCAGAAAAGATGCTTGTTGAAGAAAATCTAAACACTTTTACTTTCCCAAAATAACGTGATGACAGAAACAAAAATAAATAAAAAAATCAATTGTAAAATCATTACATACATCGCTCCACTCGAAATCTAAAAAGTTAAAATTGATATAACTTAAATTTTTCATTTAATATAGCAGAGTGCAAAATAAATTCATACCAAATCTAAAATTTGAATGTGCATATTTTGCATGGTCATACATTTTTTGTTGAACAACGCTTATTTTTATGTTATTGTGCTTAATTTGCATATTTTGGAAAATTTTTCGAAATTTCAACTTCACAAATTTTACCCGATCTAAAAAAGAAAAAAAAAGTAATGCAGCTTACTCGCAGTCTTATGTACCTATTTTTTACTATATACAACTCACAACTCCTTATAATTTTCGTGGTTTGAAAGTGTGTCATCCACCATTGAAAAACGACTTTGTTTCAACTGTGCTACTCGAAAACTATACCAAGTCCAACAATAATTTTAAAATCATCATTCAGCAATCTTGATGATTTGGAGTTTAGTTTGAAAGAATACAGTGAAGTAAAAAAACTAAATGCACAGAACTAGGTACTGTTTGGGATTTTTAAATGTAACGAGAGTTCTAGGAAATCATTTATTTATTGAAACGGATTACATTACTGAATATCAAGAGTACTCATTGGCTGACTTGCAGTGTAGTCTGACAATCGACAATATAACAGGTATTGTACATAATTATTTCAAAATAATATATTATTTAATCAATTGTTTTAAATAATTTTTAGATATTTATTATCCGGAGCAGTTTTTTATGGACATGATCATTATATAGCGTATGTAAGCCGTGTAAATAGATGGGAAGTGCACAAAGATTTGGCAAAAAAAATTAAAAGTACCCCTAGTTCAACAAAAATAAAACCACATGTAATTTTATACGTGAAAGAGTAAAAAAAAGATATGTACATTGGTACAAAAGTCAACTATGGCAAAAAGAGATGTCTTTTTTTAAATTAAATAAAAAGGTTATATTTTATTATTTTTAAACTTTTATTAAGCGTTTTTTACCAATTGCGTACTATATCACTTACGTTCCTATAATTCGATCTAAGGTTAATCGTTCTACCTTTACATTTATATCGAATCGCAGACGATTCGCTACCCTCATATATGGCCACTGGGCACGTACGTTTCATACTTAATTTGTAGTCATTTTTAATGATAGGACGTCTGATCCCCCGATATTTTAAACTTTAATTCTTTTAATAAAACGTAAAATGTCACAATGATAATTTATGTTATTAAAATATTATAGAAGGTATTAGGTACCTACCTACAGTATAATTTTCATCAGTCCAACTTTAATTTTAAATAATATGAGTAAGCTTTGGCTATAGAATGTCTTATAACCTCGGGGAGCTAAATCTCCTAATATAATAATAATAATAATAATAATAATAATAATTGACTGTTTATATCATTATGGTTACTACTGCATGGCCACAACTAATTTGGAAGTCAAACATTTTTTTAATATAATACTAACTACTTATCATTTTTAGGTTCAAAATATAGTTTTGTGTTACTTTTAAAAATTTAGCGGTGTGGGGAGGGTCTAGGGTCTGGAAGTTATGGCCTCGGTCATTAGGTTAAAAGGAATGCACGCGACACGGCAAACATATAACAATGCCATCGCACCTCAACTTAGTTCACAGATCTGGCTAAATTGAATTTTTCAATAAATAAAACCAGTGTGGACTGTCAAAATCTTTAAATATAGAAATATAATAATTATAAATTAAAAAATTATATAATTGTATTCTACTTATATGTCAAACCACTTTTTTTTTTTAGCTAAATTGGATGCAAATATTTGTTTAAACATTGTATACTAGAATTCATAATTAATGATTGTATTTTGGTAGTTTAGGCATTATCTTAATATGTTTATATCATGAATTTATGATATAAATTGATCATACAATTTTACCTCAGAATTCATATAATAATGTAAAACAGTCTACGCCAAATTGGCATTTTTAACTGATAGTTAACACAGAGTTTATTTTGTTTTTTAAACTGTTTTAGCCAATAATAGATTATACTATATATATTATATATGTACATCTATTATCTGTATAATATTATATAATAATAAATAATCCATTCCTTTAATTAATGTTTATGAGAATCATTTATTTATGGCTAACATAATGTTGATATCTAATAACCGATAGGCAAAATACTTTCTAGAAAATCTTCTAATAACTAATAATACTTGTTTATAAATATATAAATTATATTAAAACATGAAATATACACTATATTATGAACAAAGTAGTAAGTAGTTAAGGGAAAAAACATTGTAACTAAAAATTAAGTCGTGTTAAGTATATTATGGTTTATTTCTGTTTTCAATAGATTAATTTAAAAAAGTTTACATTAAATAATAAACTGTATTATGTTATATGTCTTAAAATACTGTTTGATACAATTTTACATTTTTTAAGTTAGTGTGGTTTTTATTTATTTATTCCTTTTGTAATAAAAATATTTTTCTAGAAAAATTGTGATTGTGAAAATTTTATTTCATAAAATAGTGTTTTATTTATTATACTCATAGCTCATGAATATTTTATTTGAGTTAAGTACTGAATGCATTAGCTAATTTGTGAATAATTAAAAAACATACAACATATTATTAATTTATAATATTAATACTATACACAAATCTAAAGACACTATATTGTATTGTTTAAGTATCATACGATTATTAATAACATTGCATCAGTGATAACATTTTACTAACTAGTGAAATAACAACTCTATGCAGAAGGAATGTCAATAAAATATGAAATAAAAAATTCTAGAATAGAATCAGTCTATACAAAAATATATTAATTTTTACATATACGAAAAGATTTCATATTTTATCATACTATCTAGTATTAAAAATACTAGTATAACAGTTAAACAATGTTAAAATAACATTTAAATTTAGTATGGGCATCATGAAGAATCACCATGAATATTGAAGAGTTTAGCAACTTCATTGAGATCTTTGTAACATCTGTCGGATTTAAGCACTTGGCGTGCTATAGACATTCTATTAAACAAATTCCATAACACAATTCCAACAATCACATCATTTTTCAAGTAGAAAACAACACCTTTGTTGTAATCATTTTCAGAAATAGATTCATTATTTTTGGATAATGATTCTTCATTTATTTCTTTTTTATTGGTTGAGGTATTTTGGTCAGTTTCATTAGCCAAAAGTGATGGATCTTTATGGTTTCCTTTGGCAAACACACCCATTGTTGTTAGAGACGAATCGACAATTCCAATTGCTTCATAACCCACAGAAGGCCCAATGTCTGACCAAAACATAGGTTGATGTTGATATGGTTTAGCTGAAAATTCAAAAATAAAATTATCTTCTGAATCAAGTAAGATAATAACTATGTTATATAAAAGTTTCATGCCCTACACCAAATACCCTGATATTAACTAATTACGTTTTGTTCTTAATTTCTTGTGTGAATTTAATGTTGTATAACATTGTTTTAGTTTTAAATGTTAATTATTAATCTCTTTGTACATACAAGTGATTTTATTTGGGCAATGTGTATTTAGAATTGTGGTAATCATTAATATATTATAAACATTTTATGGGGCCTTAGAAATTATCCCTTTATAATAAGACTGCAAAAAAAAAAAAAAATTGTAAACACTGCACTTGGTTAACAGTCAATTTCATACTATAGAATGCCAGTGGCGGCTTGGCGGGTGAGCCTCACCAGAGAAATTTACCTTTATAATAATTAAACATTAAATTGTGTAACAAATAAGATACTAATATTTCCAGAAAAATATTAATATATTATTTTAATGATACTGACCAGCACCAGCCATATTTTCACCAGCTAATCTGCCCGAGATTACAGCGTGATCATGATGTTCAACACGCCTCCTTCCAAGCTGTTTGTCATAAAAACAAGCACAATCACCAGCCTATAAAAATAATTTCAGATAAATACAATGTCAATAACATAATATATAAAATAAAAAAATTTAAGAAACTAACAATATACAAATCTGTTCTTGCTTGTAATTCAGAATTGACTAAATAACCATCAAGTTTTGAATCAATTTCTAATCCAGCATCAGTAGCTAATTCAGTGTTAGGTTTAGCACCAACTGCCATTATCACATGATCAACAGATATCTAAAAAACCATTACTTTAAAAATTTTAAATTTGATTTATTTTAGTCAAAATGTACTAACGTTTTTCCCATTACTTAATATCAAGTTGACTTGTTGTTTATTATTTTCTAAACTGCAGTTTTCTACCTCTGTTTCCGTCACTACTTCAACTCCTTCATTCCTAACTTTTTCAGTGGTCCAATGGCTAAGATATTTAGGTAAAACTTTTCCCATATTACCCTGTTCTTTAAATATTTGATAAATTTTAACCCCATTTTTTTTTCCTTTGTTGGCCAATGAAGCAGCAAGTTCACTTCCCAAAAATCCACCACCAATAATGGCAATAGATTTTATATGACCCAGTTGTTCCCATAAATCTTCAAAGTCACTGATGGACCGAAATACTGAGAATTTATTTTTTAGTTCTTCACTTGCATCATCATACAATTTTAATGTTTTTGGAACTGAACCAGTTGCTATTAAGCACTTATCATAACTAATTTCTTTGCCATCATTAAGTTTCACTTTTTTTTTTGATACATTTATTGATTCAACTTTCCATCCTCGCGCTAATGATATGCCACCATTTTTGGCAGTGGTTAATTCTTCAACAGGTGTATAAAATGGTTCAGGTTCATAAAATAGACTTCTAGATGTACCATTCCATTGATGAAAGTTTAACGACTTTGCCATTTCAGTATCATCACCATACCATAATTCTTTAGATAATGGGGGTCGCATATGAGGAAGATAACCTTCAGCTGATATTACTAAAACCTTAATTTAGAACACCAGAATAAATCATATTGTGTGTAATAAGATAAAAATAATAGTTATTTTACCCTGGCAGTAGGATCTGCCGACTTGATTGCTCGGAATGCTGAAAAGGAAGCTGTACCTCCACCAATCAACAAATACTGTATACTGTCAGGTATTGACTCAGATAATGAAGGAATTTGAACCAGTTTGCGTATTTTTTTTGCTAAATTAAATATTAGTGAGTTATTATTTCAAAATTTGCTTAGTAAAATGTCTTAAATTACCGTTTGTAGTCTCTTTTGTAGTATTGTTATCATCTTGTTTTTGTTTCATTATGTCAAAATGATAGATCTGTTTTAGAAGAAATGTATAATATAAGTAGTAATAGCCAAAAGGTAGTTGGTAGGTACTATATATTATTTAAATTTATTTTAATATATCTTAATATACTACTAGACAAGCAATGAGTGTAGGGAAAGCGTAAAAACATACAGGGTGCTTTTTAATTACTCGATTACTCGTACGCAGTGCGAGGTAGCAGGGAAAGATTTATATGTTATAGTATTTTTTTGTGAAAACAATCTACATCACTGCCTGAAGTTGTTACACGTACCGCATACTGTTTTACACAGTTCTTGTCTAGTAGTATTAAGTTTATGATTATTATATGAATTATGTTAATTTATTTTACTTTAGAAATTTAGCTCTATCAATAATTTTAAGGTACTTTTCTGTTATCCCTACTACCACTCGATGCCGCGACTACCGCAACCACTCAATTCTGTTATCTCGACTACTAAAGTAATATCCAGATAGTTCTATATTTTAATACATAAAACACATGAATTGCCATTTATATAATAATGTATATTAGTATGTCATCAAAATTATCACAAAACGTCAAGTTACATATTCTAAAATTATCACAGCAGTTGAAAGTCTATTCTATAAATTAAAACATTAAACATAAATTCATCAAGATATTAAATATTACATATAAAAATAAAAAATCACGGTTACAGAAGTCTAAAATTCTATTTTTTCATTCACGGTGCCCCGGAAGTAAACCCTTCTCTTGAAAAAATTCAATCGCATCTTTTTCACTGTTTGGTAAATTCCACAGATTCATAATTATTTTAAAATGAATAAATACAATGACGGAAAAACAACAACTGTCAGCAATAGGTAATCGAGCGAGTTGTGGTCACAGCATCAGCGTGGTAGTCGAGATAACAGAATGGAGACTCGAGGTAGTAGAGATAACAGAAAAGTACCAATTTTAATACTTACACCGTATATTGTTCCTGATAGAATAATAGCTCCTCCAAAAAGACTCCAATTACGAAAAGACTGTTTATTTTTAGAATCGTTCTGCCAACCATCATTTTTTTCAGATTCTGAAGAATGAGCTGATGTGGGTGAATTTGGAGTGGTACAGAATTCATCCTAAGGTACAAATAAATGTTTTTTTAGCCATGAATAACAAAAAACATTGACATTAATTTTATCGACTTTTGGTCTACCTTAGCCACTAAAGGGCACGTTTTTAGAGGATATTCATTATATTCTGATATTATAGTTTCTTTTTTAGGTATATTGACTGGTTCATATATTTTTTTGGTTTTTTTTGAAAAATTGTTTTTAACAGGTTTAATGACCTAAAATTTTGGTTAAACATAATGTTATTTTGTTAGTATTTGATTAACTTCAAACTATTTAGGTATATAATATTAAGTATTATTGTGTTATCTATTAAATAATTGGAGATCATACAATATAGCATACTTAAAAATTAATTTTTGGTAATATTACATGAAACAGACAAAAATTATTATAATAGGTATTTATTGAAAACATTTTTGTACAATTTATACCTAAAATATCAATTTGTATTATATACCTAATAGTTGAAGTACATCTAATTTAATATTACATAATATATTATGTTTTTAATAAATTGGATACAAAACTACTGCATGCATCGCTAAATGTTATTATTTGTTTAAAATTAACGTTGTCTAAATAAATTGCGTAAGAAATCTGAGTAATAATTAGGTAAATCAAATTTATTTATGTTATCTGGGTACCTCAGTACCTTTAAATTTACCTATAATTAAAAATGTCAATTAAAAATATAAAAATAAAACCTTAGCCATGCATTCAATACCTATTAGTGATTTAAAAAAAAATTTGTTTTTATAATTTAAATAATTTATAATTGTCATGCTAACTACCTAATTGTTTAAATTAATTTTACAAAGTAATCTAACTATGTGTGTATTGTCAACAAAGGAATCTATACTGTTCATCATTAAAAGCCGATAATTATGAAAACAAACATTGTCTCTAATAGGTACCCATTCAAATAACAAATAATGCTTTACCTGTATCAATGGAGGAGTCTTTCCTCTATTGTTTTTTCCACCGCCATTCTTTTTATCACTATAATTTTTATTTTCCCAAGAATTTAATATTCTGGCTCCTGTAAAAACAATTGAACGCATAACGCATAATGTTAAAGTAAAAAAAAAACGTGGTATTAAATTATACTAACCCGGGGAAACCGGCGGTCTGAGTAGTCTGAGCTTGGACAGCATAGCTATTCAATACTTGAGCTGATAAAAACAATTATTCGTCCTCGACGAGCCGGACGTTTTAAAAATGTTCGAATCGGTCTCTAAAATAATAAAGGAAATAACAACAAAATGGCTAGGAAATGTAGAAGCACTTAAAAAATGATTAAAATATCATCAGACGAATACAATAATAATAACACGGACTGACGGCTTCAGAGTTCATACACGGTTCGGCTTCATTCTACATTGAAATAAAATGTGTTCGACGGGAAAACTTGGGCACCTACATCTGATCCAAATGGCATTTTTCATGGAACGTTGAAAATTGTTGGTGAGTCCCACCGAATGCCGTTGGTGGCGCGGACGGTGGCGGCATATTCGACGTGGACCGGGCGGACATGCGTATACACACGGTTTAGGCGTTCCGAGTCTTTACGGATTCGTTTGGAACACGGGAAACAGCCAAAATTAACATATTATATTGGTTTTTGATTTATTGGACGAAGAAAAAATCAAAGTTGTTTTCGGCTAATTCTTACGTATCGCGCCAATAATGGATACTGATGTGTACGAACAATAATATATGAACGCTCACCAAAAATACCCGTAGGAGATGGGAATAACACATCAAGGATTGGGCAGTTTTGGATTTGGGATGAAAATAATTTACATAATTTATCTATTTTAGTTCAAATACGCAACCGGTGCCTGGTGGTAGGGTCCATCTCCTCCATGCCGATGCATGGTGCATGCTAATCGGAACCGGTTTTCGTCACGGAACTACTTAGATTTTATTCTTATATAGTAGGTATTTAGTTACCTAATATTAAATACTATATTCTAAAAACATAATCGTGCATTTATTCTCCCCCATGTTTTCCTTTCATAATGAATTTATTCAAATTCTGAGTCTTGGAATTTTCAAATACACTTCAAAACTATTTTTACAAATTTTTAATTTTTTTTGCACTACTTAAGCAGTGTCTTGTTGCGATACAAACTACTATATTTCAAATGAGAACCCCCTCTTTTTGACTGTACATAATTAGTTCATATTTTTTTTGAAAATTTTGATGTATCTAATTCAAAATTCGAATGAGTAGTTTCTTAGTTATTAAAATGTTTGTACTAAAGGGCTAGGTACTAGGTACTCTTTAAAATTCCGAATTCGTTTTGCAAAACTATATAATAGAAGTACGGTTGGGTACTTGGGTCTAGTATTTATTATATTTGGGCCATTCTTACAAATTATTAATATTGATGGATAATATTATATTTTATTAATGACTAAAATGTTCAGATTACCATTTACCATAGCTCCCAATCTCCGTGTCCCTATAGACTTTTTATTCTTAGGACACAAAGTTAAATCACTCAGACAATTAATCCGCTGTCTAATATACAGTTGAATAGGGAAAACAGTTGAAAACACAAGTTTGTATCTCCCGGGACTACAGGAGTTCAGAACACGTAAGTAGTACAAAAAATCTCAAGAATTTGAAAATATGGTCTTAAATATTTTTAAAAATATTCCAAAAATCAGATTTTGAATAAATCCATTATTGAAGAAAAAAGAGGGTGAGCATGCTTGGCAGATCACTCTGTTTATTAAATTGTATTTTGAACAGACTACAGACCACAGTATTTTCAAAAATATTGTCAACAGACAACAGTCTATTTGGTTTTGATTTTTCGAAAATGCTTTACATATGAACAGAACACGTTTCCCACAATATATAGTTGAACGATTGATCCCAGGAATTCGATCTTATTGATCTTAGTTTTGTGGATAGTAAATTTCAAAATTCAAAACATTTTAATAGTTCAGCACAGACTATGTGACTATATGGTACATTTTCCTGTGGTAATACTGTCGGCACAGTGACGATGTTTAGACATATAGCATTACGCACCTATGTAGGGAAGGTCGTATAGCCCCATTTGGTATCACGATACTTCATATTTTCTTGTTATCATGGTTGGATTTTTGTTTATACCACGAACTTAGATAATAATGTTATAGTATTTGATTATAGTAAATAGTAATGTAGTAAAGTGGTTGTGCTCATGGTTGTATCGACAAAAACGTGATATTATTATTATTGTTATGAATTTATTATTATTTTTTGTCTTAATTTGATTTATTATTTTCTATATTTGTGTATTTAACTATTCGAGTGTGAACTTATTAATTCGTTATGGACGTAGATTCCGATTCTTCGTCCTCATCTTCTTCTTATGACGAAGAGCTCGAAAAGTATAAGCAAGATGAATTGAAAAAAAAAATCGATGTTTTAGAGAATAAGGTGAATTTTGAATAAAAGTTTGTTCTCTCGGTTTTTTAATCATTAAGATGTTTAATGAATAACAAACTTTGGTATTAATAAAAAGTACTGGACTTCTGAATAAAAATAAATAGTATATTTTATATTGAAAGATCACATTGATGATTGATGTTTTAGAATTACATTTTGTTTATTGAAGATAAATTTTATTAACATTTATACTTATGCATTGATAAGTAAAAGTTTAACTCTATTTTTAAAAAAAATCTTTTGTTTACTTTTATAGATACTAAATAATCCATCAGATTATGATGCACATGTTGAACTAATAGGAGTGCTTCGCTGTGCAGATGATTTGGATCAACTGCGAGTTGCTAGAAAACGTTTAAATGACAAATATCCGTTAAGCGCAAGTATGGTATTTTCATTATTAATGTTTAGCAATTAATAAAACTAACACCATTTAGAAGATATGTAATAAATAATTATTGTTTAATAACTTTGAACTAAAAGTTAGAATTATCATGATCCCTTGTTTGGTAGAAGAAACACTACTGAGTTTGATTTTAGTGGCTAACACATGTTCAATTGTCTTCTTATTTATTTTTAATTTTTTACCATGGTTCTGTCTAATCTCCTAAATATTCTCAAGAAGATATTTATTATTTTTATTCAATATAAATTATATGATTAAATGTTGTTAATTAATTAAAAATATAGTACTGTGTTAAGTATAATATTCATTTTAACTATAGTATTAATTTAAAAATAAATTATAATCCAGGACTCTACAATGACTCTCACCTATCAAAAAAAAAAAAAAATTGCAAGACTGTGGGTATTACTAACTAGCCTATCAACATACGTCTCGGTGATAATATATAAAAATAAAATTATTATTAAACCAATCATTTTCAATACAAAATTAATCGTTTTAGTATACATAGATTAACTATTATGCTAGACTATTTTTTTTACATCCCAATCAAGGTTTAAAATAAACCAACATATAAAAAATTTAAAAAAATTATTATTTATTTTATATACTTTTTTCAGATTTATGGTTGGACTGGATAAAAGATGAAATACTTATAGTAACTACCGATGAAGAAAAAGAGAACATAGTTAAATTATGTGAAAAAGCAGTTAAAGATTATTTAAGTAATTACTAAATATTTAATTTACTCAATGTCACTAAAGATTTATATTGCTACTTTTTTATTGCATTTATCTGTTTGTGATGAATGCTTTCTTATTTATTAAAATTCATAAACTATACTTTTGTTGAAATAACACTTGAATATATTCCTCAGTATTACAAAATTCTAAAATTGTTCTAAATATGTGCTATAAATGTATAAAAAATGGATTAATGAACATTTTAAAATGTATATGTTACTATATTTTATTTATATGTATATATATTAATTTACAGGTATAGATTTATGGTTAGAATATGTACAATTTAGCATTGGTTGCATGTCTGATACTACTGGAACAGACATCATACGAGTCTTAATGGAACGTGCATTAACAGCAGGTGGTCTTCATGTACCTAATGGCAATGTTCTTTTTGAAGTGTACAATGAATTTGAAAAATTAATTTTGATGTCTCTGAAGGTGAAAAAACACATTTATTTTACTCATTCTAAATAATTTTAATAAATATTAAATTATATTTGGTTTTATTTTGTAGCAAGGTACTGATGAAAAAGCTATAAATGATCAAAAACGTCGTATTAATAATTTGTATCGTCGACAACTTTCTGTGCCTTTATTTGATATGGAAAACACTTATGCAGAGTATCAACAATGGTTGACTACTGAAAATCTTGAAATAGAAAAATCAACAGTGGATGCCTATAATAAAGCTCTTAGTAAATTACAACAAATTCAAGTTTTTGAAGATCGTTTAGTAAGTTTTTATTAATTATTATTTATTAATAATTCCTAAAGTAAGTTGAAGTGGCGTTTTAGTTAGATTTTAATTTCACGATTTAACCTTAAAAGCTTGCAAAACATACTATGTACTATTCAGAATAAAAATGTTAGGGCTGACTAACAAAAATGTGTCAAAACTACTTATGAACTACTAACATTACTGCCTTGGCACAGCTGCCTCCACTCTTCCACCTATTTTTACGAGCGTCAAGTATTAGGGTCTCAAGTTTCGTGTTACATTATTACCCCATTCATTTATTTGGTTATTACTTTTTTTAATTAAATACAGAATAATCAAATTTTAACTATGTAAAAAAGTTTAAATTCATTTTTTCTCTATTCTAGGTAATAGTGAGAGTCAATTTTTATATCTTAATAAAATCCTATTACCAGTGTCTTTTTTTGTTAAAGAAAATTTAACAGTTCAAAAATAACATTGAAAAAGTAGATAAAGAGCTCAAATCATTTTTTTTTGATGTAAATTTGATCAATTTAAGTAGGTTTAAATTTGTTACTTTTATGTCAATATTTTATTTTATTGAATACAATGGCTTGAATATATGGGTGCTACTGGAGAAAATTACAGTACAGCGGTGTATAGCATTATCATAACTGCCTATCAAATATTCCTTAGAAAAAAACGCTCTTCATACAATTCTACCCCCTTAATTGCTGATATGTGCTCTTCATACTATATTACAAAATTTTAAGTTCATACCTCATTGAAAAAATCTACCAATTTTTAAAACGGCTTTATAAATATTTGTATTTATTTATTCAGTTATCAAAAGAGGCTAAAGATCGATTAGATTCTTATGAAGAATATATACGTTGGGAAAAAAATCCTAAAGAAGGTGGAAACAAGCCAAGTCGAATTATATGCTTGTATGAACGTGCTATTGCTGATATACCCTTGACACAAACACTCTGGGCTGACTATATTGATTACATTGTCATAACAATAAAAGAAGCTGATTTCATATTATCTACTTGTAAAAGGTCTGTTGATAACTGCACGTGGTCATCAGATCTTTGGACTACTTATTTAACTCAAGCTGAAGCTAATAACCAATCACATGAAGAAATTACAGGTTTATTATTCTTTTTCTAACATACATTTTTTTGAATATTAATTTTATCAAAATATATATTATCTATTTTGTTTTAGCAATTATGGAAAAGGCATTATCTTCGTGGTTCAGTTCCCCAGCAGAATATCGTTCCTTGTATCTTTCATACATTTTTTATTTGAGACGTCGTTTAAGTAATACAGATGCTGAAACGAAACTGAAGAGAATCGAAGATGTAAGATCAATGTTAGAACAAGGACAAAAATTTCTTCTAGAAAGTATGAATATTTATT